CTTCATGAAGCACAAGTCGGAGGTGTTCAGCATCTTCAAGAAGTGGAAAGCCATGGTGGAGAACGAGACAGATCTGAAAGTGAAGTGTCTGAGATCAGACAATGGCGGAGAATACAATCTGGAGGAGTTCAAGAAGTTCTGTGCTCTGAACGGGATTCGTTTGGAAAGGACTACTCCAGGAACGCCGCAACAGAACGACGTAGCAGAAAGAATGAACAGAACGCTGATAGAGCGTGCGAGGAGCATGCGTCTACATGCAGGTCTACCAAAAACTTTTTGGGCAGACGCGGTGCATACAGCAGCGTACTTGATAAATCACGGGCCATCAGTTCTATTGAACTTTGGGATTCCGGAAGAGGTTTGGAGTGGCAAGAAGGTTAATCTCTCACACTTGAGAGTCTTTGGGTGCGTGGCATACGTCCACATCAGTGACCATGTCAGGGACAAGCTGGAAGCTAAGTCATTAAAGTGTACATTCATTGGGTACGACATTGATGAGTTCGGGTATCGTCTGTGGGATGAGAAGAACAGGAAGATCATCAGAAGCCGAGACGTCATATTCAATGAGGAAGTGATATACAAGGACAGGGATAATGCCAAGACGGGCCAAAGCAGTGGGAGCAGCACTACGGATGCAGACGCATCCGAGTACATGGACTTGGAGGAACTTCCAGATGGGGGAGACAACGCCGTAGAACGGAGGAGACTATAGGTACAGAAGCTACTACCCAGGGTGTGGAGCTTAGGAGGTCATCCAGGGTACCCAAACCGAATCCCAGGTATCTCTCGTCACTAGACTACCTACTTTTGACAGATAGCGGAGAACCAGAATGCTATGAGGAGGCTATGCAAGTGAGCGAATCTCAGCAGTGGGAGCATGCAATGCAAGAAGAGATGGATTCTCTCCACTCGAATGAGACATGGGAGTTAGCCCAGCTACCTGCACAGAAGAAGGCCTTACATAACAAGTGGGTTTACCGAGTCAAGCAGGAGAGTGATGGAAGGAAGAGGTACAAGGCCAGACTAGTCGTGAAGGGGTTCCAACAGCGGGAAGGAGTGGATTATACGGAGATATTTTCTTCCGTTGTAAAGCTCACAACCATCAGGGTGGTGTTGAGCTTAGTAGTTGCTGAAAATCTCTACCTTGAGCAGTTAGATGTGAAGACTGCCTTTCTTCATGGCGACTTGGATGAAGAAATCTACATGAAGCAACCTGTTGGCTTCATTGAGGAAGGAAAAGAAGAGATGGTGTGTAGGCTCAAAAAGAGCTTATACGGATTGAAATAGGCCCCACGGCAGTGGTATAAGAAGTTTGATAACTTCATGCAGAGCAATGGCTATGACAGATGCAATTCAGATCATTGCTGTTACTTCAAGAGGTTCGGGACCAGCTATATCGTGTTATTGCTGTATGTTGATGACATGTTAGTTGCAGGACCGTGTTTACAGGAGATAAACAAGCTGAAGAAGCAGTTAGCAAAGGAGTTTGCCATGAAGGATCTGGGTGCAACGAAGCAGATTCTTGGGATGCGGATCAGCCGGGATGCGGCTGAGGGGACGTTGAAGTTGAGTCGGTCTGAATACATTGAGAAAGTACTTCAGAGATTCAACATGCAGAATGCTAAGGCCGTTAGCACGCCCCTTGGAAGCCAGTTCAAGTTGTCTGGTGAACAATCACCTAAGACTGATGCAGAGAAGGAGCACATGAGGAAGGTGTCGTATTCATCAGCCATTGGTAGTCTGATGTACGCAATGGTTTGAGTATGTCGCAGTGACCGAGGCGAGCAAGGAGATGATTTGGCTAACCGGGTGCCTGGATGAGTTGGGTCTGAAGCGGGGGAACGAAGTTCTTTATTGTGATAGCCAGAGTGCTATACACCTTGCCAAGAACCCAGTGTTTCATGCCAGAACGAAGCACATCGAGTTACGTTACCACTTCATACGCTCGATGATTGAGGATGGGAAGTTACAGTTAGAGAAAATTTTGGGGAGCAAAAATCCTGCAGATATGTTGACTAAGGCAGTCACCATTCAGAAACTGGAGTTGTGCGCAACTTCAGTTGGCCTTCATATGTAAGAGATGAGGGCGGAGCCACACAGTAGAAGATGCTTGTTAAGAGAGAGCTTGCTGATGACGGTATGGTCTCCAAGTGGGAGATTGTTGGAAATGGGTGTAGGCCCATACCTATCAGCGGCGAAATCAGACCGTCGGGCGGATCTCGAGCTCAGGAGAGTTCGAGGTCGACGTCGCGATCTTCAGGCGGATCGACGGCTACAGGCGAAGACAGGCAAGGGCGATGCTCTGCTGGCGAGATCGATGGACTTCGGGTGAGGTCCAATCGGCGAACTCAAAGAGAGCTACTAACGAGTTTTAGGGCTTCAGGCGAGGCTCTTTGCTGGAGAACTTGGTTTGGGGCGAAGGCGAGCTCGAGCGGTGCTCTCAACAGGCGACCTCGTAGCTTGCAGGCGAACTCGATGGTTTTAGGCGAAATCATCAAGCGGAGTGAAGTTGGGCGGATTTTCACCCTGCAGGCGAGTTCTGAATTCCCCCTTTGGCCTGTGTTTTGTTGAGAACAGCTGGATCCAGCTGTTAGCTAGGGTTTCCCTATTTAAGGAAACCCTGAGCACGAAAGCAGGCTCCTCCGATTTTTCTTCAGATCATTAAACTCCAGAGGCGGCGGCTATTAAGGAGAGCTCTTCAGAGGAGAATTTTTCAAAGAAAAATTCTTGAGTTCCTGTAGCGATTTATTGAAGAGAGAGGAGATTTTACTGTAGCAAAATCTCGCGCCTTTTATTTGAACAACAATAGTTTTTGTTGGTTCTTTTCTTGAGAGATCTCAAGTTTGAGATCTGCTCTTTACAAGCTCTGTAATCTTCTTTGATATAAAGGAAATTATTTGTGTGGCTCCCGAGGACGTAGGCAAGTTGCCGAACCTCGTTAAAACTCGGTGTTCTCTGTTCTTGCAATTATTTTTTGATTTGTAGTAGTTTCTTTTTTCCATTGCTTAACACAAGATCCGGTAGGGCAAATTCCACAGAACGGGACTTAGAGCGTATCTGAGTTTATCCCCAACAATTTTTAGTTGAGAAGACTTTTTAAATTGTTAACTTTTTTATTTACAATAAATATAAAAAAAATCATTTTCTTTCTTGTCTTCTTCTTTGATGATGAATTTATATAAGATTCTAACAAAACGAAATGCTTCTCTCCATTTTAAACTATATATTTGCATGTTTATTTCAAGAGAGACGTAAGCATCAATGCATGAATCGAACACGAGTTACAATGTCAAGAAAGTATGACATAGTGTACACCGAAGACATACATTAACCCCTGTATAGATCCGTGCAGAAATGACGCGATCGATTTCAAATGATCCGGGCCACTCATGCTGGCAGGCTTCAACGCCACAAGCAGCAAATAATATTAATTAATGAGTCCACCACAGGCTCCACATTTTTGTTTAAGACGTCCATCTCACTGACTGGTCGTTAGAGTTTGCCCACGTGGCCCTTGGTTTGGCCCT